ATATTTTCCTCATATTAAATAATTCGCAATAATCCCTCGTGTTCATTAGTCCTATACATTAGACCGACAAGCAAATTCATTGGTTGTTATGTCTCATGAAACGTAAAACAACCTTAATATAATTTTTTTTTTAACTTCTTGTGCACGCCGTTGGTAGCTCTAACATATAGGCCTACCGGTATTTCATAAAAATTCTATCTTCAATTTTATTTTAGCGTGCCTCACTCCTCGCATACGCAGCCGATAAACTGCTGTCTCTTATACACATCTAGATGTGTATAAGAGACAGATCTAAGAATCAACATTTTCCCGGTGGGTGACCCCCGGACCCCCTTTTTTGGGCTTTTTTATGAAAAAGGTCTCACCCCCCCTAAATGTGAAACTAGATCCGTCCCTGAATAGGTTATGCTTCTGTACTGTGAATAATTATTTTATAGCCATTATTCGTACTTTATACATGTCCTTTATACATGTCCTTCGTTCCAATGCGCATGCCTCATTCGTCTCCATGGGCGATGGAGTTCAATGGTGTTTCCCAACGAATGCAGTACCATTTTACTACTCGACGTGAGTCTCATTGTAATTAGTACTGTACTGTACTCGAGTTGTCTCCGCTTCAGTGTAACGAGAACAATACCATACTAACAAAAAGCAACGGCTGAGCGTTGTTGGTGGCGCACAATAGAAGAGATGATTGTTATCTATATGCGTTCGAATGAAGTCATCGCATAGGAATTATACTTGAACAGTTGATAATTTAAGACATATTCGAAGACTATCGCCTTATCTCTCGACAATATTGCTAAGATAGGCCGTGTACTGTAGCCTACTGTAAAGGAATTCACACAGTCACACTTTCGCGTGTTATTAAAACATGCCAGTTTTAAAATTTTATTTCGTCATTGCGTTATTAACGCTGACGATTTCAATGGAAGCCGAGTCGGCTACCGACGCGAAGGTGTTGATTCTCGGGGCAGGAGCATCAGGTTTGAACGCCGCTCAGACGCTGCACTATAAGGGTGAGAATGATTTCCTCATCCTGGAAGCGGAGGATCACTACGGCGGTCGAGTACATAATGTACGTTTCTTGCAAAGAGTCGTAGAGTTGGGAGCAAACTGGATACGCCCAACCGGTTCGAAACTGGAAAATCTCGCCCAGAAAATCGAGCTGGCGACTAGGCCATCCGATTTCGACGACATCGTAGCTTTGACGAATAAAGGTGCGATAGTAACAGATGGTTTTAAATTGGCCCTGGAAAGGTTTGATAGTAAATTGGACGAGGCGTTGGATTTAGGTGCCGACCACATCGATGACGAAGAGACAGATATGTCATTGCGTTCAGCACTGAAGTACGTCGGATGGAAACCAATGACACCCGAAGAAAAACTTGCAGAATGGTTCAGAATTGACTTTGATTTGGCAGACGAACCTGAGGTAGGCATAGGCCTATTTTTTTTTTTTAGAAGTAGGTCTATTCTGAACACTCTTGTAGTGAAGTGTAGTTTGGTGGTTGATCATTTCCTTTTTAATCCTGGGGTACTGGGTTCAAATCCTGTGACGATCAGTATTGTTAATCTTAACATTACAATAACATTACAATTTCATATTTTCGTAAGAGGGCCCTGCTGGATATCAGCCAAGATTTAGGATACGCTGGAAAGGTTACCAAGCCCTATTTGTATCTATAAATATTTAATGATGATAGAATATGTGTATGGTAAAAAAAATGACAGGCGTGAGGAAATAATTGATTTTACGTTTCGTTCTTAATTTGAACATTGTCAAGAACGATTAGTCCAAGTCCATTTTTGAACTAATCAATCTTGACAATGTTCAAGTAAAGGACGAAACGTAGATTCAATTATGGCCTCACGTCTGTCATTTTTAGGAGTTACCATACTCATATTTTATTTTCGTATCAGTGGATCATTTGGTTTTAATGATGATGCGTTCAATTTAACCATTGTTGATCAGGCTTATTCTCATGAAGTAAATATTATAGTCCTACTGATTTCAGTTTTTATTTGGAATCGCTTTAAAATCCGTGCAATGCCATTTTCTTCCAACGTACATCATTAGGCTATTTGAAAGCAGAAGTGTTTTTTGATGTTTTGTCATATTTGTAGTTTATATTTTCCTCATATTAAATAAATCGCAATAATCCCTCGTGTTCATTAGTCCTATACATTAGACCAACAAGCAAATTCATTGCTTGTTATGTCTCATGAAACGTAAAACAACCTTAATATACATTTTCTTGTAAACTTCTTGTGCACGCCGTTGGTAGCTCTAACATATAAGGCCTACCGGTATTTCATAAAAATTCTATCTTCAATTATATTTTAGCGTGCCTCACTCCTCGCATACGCAGCCGATAAACTGTATACTGAGGAGGATGAACCAGTTGTTGAAGATAACTCCAATAATAATAATAATAACATAAATGAGCAGGATTACCTCAAAGAGCAAAGGGACCTCGTCCTTGTCGCCGACAATGATCCATACAACTATCGAAACAGAGACCGATACGACGACAACAATCAGTACAGCCGTCGTCGCCGCCAGGCGTACGATGGCTCTCAAGAACAGTTTGTTATAGATAAAGATGGTTATATACAAATATTCAATGAAACGATGACTTTTCTGATGAAAAGAGACTATAGGTTTGTACCTTTTCTATTACAAGTTTACGGGTAATTTTACGGTTTTTAAAACAATAGGTCAATACTAAAGTTAGGTAAAGGTGTCGTATTTAGGTAGCGCCTTCAAAATAAACATTAAATGTCTCTGGGCCGAAAGGTGGGGCGCTGTAACTAGTGATTCACAGAGAGACTTTAAGGAAAGGAATAGAACCATCGACACAAAGATGGTGCCATAGGCCCTCTGCAGCGGTTACCACCAGTCTTTTAACGCTCTAATGTGGCTCTGTCAAAAGGTGACAATGAAGAGGGAGCTAGCACAGAGGTAATGGTTAGCTTTTGTGCAAGGGTGAGCCAATTCGAGTCCCGTCACAGTGCCTTGAGTAAGGCATTTTGCGCTCGATACCTCGTCCCTCTGACACGCCGTTGAACCGTTTGTACCACGAGCAATATCACATGCGCACGGAAAAAATCAGACAACAGGGGATTATCTTCCGGTGTACTGACATGGTAGGCACGGGTCCCAATATGAACATACAACAAGGACCATAACACATTTACATTTAACCAAGACGAGCAGCCAAATATTGAATTACCGGTATGAATTATATACAGTGAAGTCCAGTGGCGTCGAGAGG